TGGGGGTTTTTCGGATTAAACGTTTATAGAGCTTTAGGGTTTCGAATTGTCGTTGAATCTGGTCGAATTGGTTAGTCTGAGTCACAAACACGAGTCAGGGGAGAAATCTTGGTATTGTCTAAGGGTTGTAGTAGTCTTGTCACTTTCGTCTTGTTTGTGTCTAGCTTTGTTTGATACGGTTTAAGGGTATTTCGGTTGGACACCAGTAACTGCCTTAAAAACTGCCTGACGTACTTGGCAACCTCTGGTATAACAAGCCACGTACTCCTTAGACTGTCCTGCCCCATCATTACAATACAATGAGCACTACTCGTATAGAGATCTCCCAATACGATGGGAAGATCGATTTAATACATGGAAAAGACTATGAAGGCCTCCTTTCACTAATAAGGTAGGGCTTGCTCTGAAAAAAGATACCACCAATGGTCTAAAAAGAAACTGAAAAAGAAGGCTGAAGTGGATGAGAAGCCTATAATCTAATAATGAATCTGTCCGATGCAGTCCTGCGAAAGATAGATGGCATGGAAACACCACTCACACTTTGGGGTAAACTCGAATCCTTATTCCTTATAGTTTGCACCACTTAGCATTTCTTAAAGGAGCTTTATTCTCTTATAAAAGGATGTTACTAAGTCTGTAGAAAAAAACCTTGATGAGTTTCTTAAGATGACATTAGTGTTGAAAGGTACATATCAAGAGTTAGGAGTTCTAGTTTGGCGATGATACTGTAAATTCATTGCCTGATGGTACTTGTGGTGAAAATGCTTTACAATACACTGGGACAGTTCCCAGTGTTGACCTGATTCTAGCTGGCCTGAAACTAGGGAATTGGAGTTGAAAATACAGAAAGGAATGGGAATAACTGCTTGTAAAAGTAGGATAGATCCTAGACAATTAGGAAGGTAGTAACAAGAATTTCTAGCAACACGAACCCTAAGACTAAGAAAAAGGGAAGAATAACAAGTCTAAGGGGAAAACTAGGAAGTGTTTTCACTGTAATAAACCAGACCACTTAAGAAGAACTGCTATGATTGGATAAAGAAACAAAAACATCACATACAAATAGTAATTTAGCTAGTACTAGCACTGGCATTGAAATTTCAGAGCCCTCACTGTCTCAAACCAAGCTAGCAGTAAGGAATGGTTCTAGATTCGGGATGCACTTTTCATATGAGTCTAAACATCCAATGGTTCCAGAACTTTAGGAAATGAGTTAGAAACTGTCTTCATGGATAATAATCACTCTTGTAAAGTTTAAGGCATAGGAAACATAACCATTAGGTTAAATAATGGTAAAGTCATAATGTTAACCAAAGTAAGGTATATACCTGACCTTAAAAGAAACATGATTTCCTTAGGAACTTTGGATGAGACTGGATGTAGTTATAAGGCAGAAAAAGGGTTCATAGTTGTGTATAAGAATAATGAAATTTTGCTTGAAGGGGTTAAACAAAATAGGCTGTATATTCTGTGTGGTCAACATTGTGCATTCACTATAATTCTGCTTTTAATCTACTAATTGACTGCTGCAGAGAAATGACATTTGAGACTTGGCCTATAGGCCAAAAAGGTATGACAATGTTAAGCCAACAAGAATTTTGGTAAGGAATCCATATCTGAATTAACTTTCTGTGAGTTTGTGTGTTGGGAAAAAGCACAGAATGAGTTTCCAAAAGGGAATCATCTAGCTGAAAAAGGGTTGGATTATGTACATGCAGATCTTGGGGTCCTAAAAGGGTTAGAACACATAGGGATTGCTATTTCCTCTCCATTGTGGATGATTATAGCAGAAAGGTATGAGCGACCTGCTTAGGTCCAAAGATGAAGCCTTAACCAAGTTTAAGGCTGGAAAAAAACTGGTTGAAAACTAGTTAATAGGAAGGTGAAAACCTTTAGGACAGACAATGGCTTGGAATTCTGTAATCTGGAGTTTAACTCTTACTGTGTAGAAGAGGAAATTTTGAGGCATAGGACAGTTAGGGGAACCCCTCAGCAGAATGAGGTTGTTGGAGAATGATAAAAACCCTTCTAGAGAGGGTTAGATGTCTCTTATTCACAGCTGGTCTACCAAAAACCTTTTGGGGGGAAGCACTAGGTACAACAGCCTATCTTATAAAGAGGAGCCCTTCTAGCTCAATAGACTTTAAGTACCCTGAAGAAAAGTGGTCTGAAGGGAGACCATCTCTTGAACACTTAAGAGTCTTTGGAGTGCTACATATGCATATACCAGAGGGAAAAAATAGAGCCAAGATCTCTTAAGTGTGTTTTTTTGGGACATCAAGAGGAACTAAGGGTATAGGCTGTAGAGAGGCTGCCCCAGGGGTTAGGGTAATTGTTAGTAGGGATGTGATTTTCAATGAAATAATTTTTCCTTGCAAATCTGGTACTAACAGTGCAGGTAGCTCATAAGAAGAGTCTGAAACTTCTAGACAAACTGGGACACACTCAGTTTGAGGTGGAGCCTGAAACTAATCCTGATCAATACATCCAAACAGATGAGACTGACCACTTGAAGATCAACCACAACAAAATCAAGAGCAGGAGGATGAAGATTACCCTACTGACAATGCTGAAGTGGATCAGCATGGTAATGGCCCAATATAAGAAAAAAAAATTGTTTTTGTTTTCTGGGCATGTTTAGAGATTGAATTTTTGTTACACTTTTATGAGTAAAACTCGTTTTTAATTTGTATAATAAGCTGATTCAAGTGGGTTATGTTTAAGTGTCTGTTATTTTTTTTCTTTTCAATAATCTAGCTTTAGTTTATTTGGCTTTGCTTCCTTTTTTGATGTATTGAACCGGTCGCCTCAGAGTTTGGTTTTTACTGATAGCATCTATCGGTTTTAGCTGTTAATTTTTGTTGATGGTTTGTGGTTTTTACTTATGGGATTGGGGGATGGCTGAGCAATTTTAGAAATTATTGAAAAGTTTGGGGTTTTACTTCATGTCACTGTATAAAATGTTGTGTGCTCATGTTTGATTGATTCTATTTTGGTTCTGTGTATATGCAAATTGTGGGGCATAATTGGGACAGTGTGTTTATCAAAATATATTGTTGTGTCAGGTTGATTTTGATGTTTGTTCTTTGTTGACTGTATTTCCTGGTTTATGCGTTTATTCAAGAAAAATTATTGACACTTTGACATTCGGTCGAAATCAACTAAACCTTTTGGTTTTTGATACCATCATTCACGTCCAACATTAATAGTCTTTGAAAAAGATAGCATCTAACAAAGTAATAGTCTTGGAATATTGGTAATATATTTGACTCACAACAACCTTATTGAAAAGTTAGTCCAACCGAGGCCTGAGATTTATGGTTGTGAAGATGAAACTCAACCAGCAAAGTGGACATTGAACATTCTGAGGAAGCTTTTAAAATTTTTAATTAAGTTGAGATTCCTAAAAGGATAAGCAAGAAGGACTCTTATATAGGCATCTCTATCAGCATCTATTTCTTCATAATTTTAGGAAGTCTCCGTTTTTTAATTCATCAAATTTGGGAATCTTCAATTGCATAACATGGTTGCATTTTTTTCTTTTTGGTTTAGGATATTTTGTTGTTCATAGTTTGAGAATTGACTGTACCTTTTTTTTTTTTTTTGTATAGATTTTGGCACCATTTCAGGGTTATTCTGTGCGCAATTTTTTCTTTGTTAACTAGTTGGAGTTGGGAAATAGATTTGTGTTAATAATGCATGCATAAGAGAAATTAGAATAAAAATTTAGAATGTATATTTTGTCGCTGATGAGGATACATATTAATCAATAAATCATGATTTTAAAATTTTATTGCTATTTGTCACAAGATCTCAAAATGTTTGGGAAAGTTAAGATAAGGAGAACATCATTGTCCTTTTTTTGAATATAATTTAAATATTTAATGTTGCATACATGTGTAAATGGAATTGTTTTCTCATTTAAGGAGCGGCACTTATTTGGACATACCATGTTCTAGACCCCATTCACTCATTCATTTTCATTGTCTGTACTGTAACAGTTATAGTGATTTAAATAACATTTGATCTTTCTTGGGTTTGAAACCAGATTTGGCTTATTTTTTTAGTGTCACTTCAAGACTTGGAAGATCTCACCTTAGTTGGGATATCTTGTTGATCTGTCAAATACTATCATTTTCATAATAGCAACTTACATTGAGGGTGTGGAGTGTAGTTCTGAAAGTGAGAGGGTTGACTGAAAGTTGAGTGGTGTCAGTATGATTTTCTTCTATGATATTTAGAGTTGCTATTAGAATACAGCGGCATGAAATACTGAACCAAACATATCCATGAGTCAGTTTGCTTGATTTGTTTCACAACTTTCTGTAACTATGTCATCTTTTGTTTCATCGCTTGTAGAAGTGGCTCAATTCTTGGTTTGGAGAAAGACTTGAGTGCATTTTATGTATCAAATCATTATGTTGATGTCGTGCATCCACCCACTCATTTATTGACACGAGGCTATTTTTCTAAAAGAAAAAAAATTATCTCCACTTTTACAATTTCTTTTCACATTCATGTGTGTCTAAATGTGCGGTTGGATGCACCACATCAGCATAATGACGTGGTAAGTTTTTCTTGTTGGTTGGAGAGGATTGATTTGACTAAACCAACCTAAATCAATGCCTTGTACAGATTATATGCTTCGTGGTAGAAGGTGTTAGTACACGTGATATGCTTAATACAGCTTTTTTTTGGCTTTAAACATTTCATATTACAACCGTGTAATGAGCGTTGCTTGCTTGAATTGCTGTTCTAGCTCAGTTTGGCACAATTAGCCAAAACTAATTTGTTTCTTATTAAGCTCCAACCTTTTGATTGCTTTGTGGATTTCTAGTTCGTTGATGTACCTATTTATTTTCCTCTTATATCATAGTTTAACAGTGTCATATTTAATAAAATAACCTGAATGTTCTTCATGTCTTACTGTTTTCATTTGCATGCACTTATTGTTCAATGTACACAAAGGATGAGTCGAGACTCAATCTTTGAATTTCTTTTCATCTAAAAGTTTTCAACTTTTATGGTGCAGGAGAGGTGAAAAAATGGAAAATGATGAGACTGGATGCCAAGCTCCTCCTGAACGCCCTATTTTGTGCATCAACAACTGTGGCTTCTTTGGAAGTGTGGCAACGATGAATATGTGTTCCAAATGCTACAAGGATACGATGATGAAACAAGAACAAGCTAAGCTCGCTGCATCATCTATTGGAAGCCTTGTGAATGAATCATCAAGCAGCAATGCAAGTGAACCTGTTGCTGTTGCTGTTGCTGCTGCTGCCACTGTGGATGTGCAAGTTAGTTCAGTGGAGTCAAAAGTCATCTCTGTGCAGCAGCCCTCATGTGGTTCAAGCTCAGGGGAGAGTGTTGAGGCAAAGCCGAAGGAGGGTCCTAACCGGTGCAACAGTTGCAAGAAGCGGGTTGGCCTGACAGGATTCAAATGTCGCTGTGGTAACATGTTCTGTGCATCACATCGCTACTCAGACAAACACAACTGCCCCTTCGATTACCGCACTGCAGCACGGGATGCAATAGCGAAAGCAAACCCTGTTATCAAGGCAGAGAAGCTTGATAAAATCTAAATCGAACGAACGTTTCAATTTTACCAAAAAAAATAGTGATGGTCATTTTCATCTGTGGGGCTTCTTCGGAGTTGGCCGCGTATGTTATCAGGTGTCCTTATTTATTGTTATATATGATGCTGGAGAGGGGAATGAATGAGAGTTAGGACATCTCTGCAAAGTATGAAGAACTCTATATCTTATGATTGGCGAGAACTTGTATGTTGGCTTCAGTGTTTAGGGTCTGAATCTCTGTGGTCTCTGGTTTGATGGACTTTTTGTCTTGGCTAGCTGTGAAATGTATGTCATGTCATATGGCATATATTCTCTCTTCTAGCAGTTTCTGTTAAATTGGTTGTGCAATTTCCAGATGATATGGAAAGTAAACATCCATGGAATTTCTTGTGCCTAGCTTTGTAAATTTTTAATTCTGCTTTTGTTTTTTTATTTTTATTGGCGTTTATTTCATTTGGGTATGTATTTGAATTGTGTTGTGTGCGAATTGATTGTTTCTTCTGTAGTGTCAAAGGAGTAATAACACATTGATTTTGATGGATCCTACATAATACAAAACAACCCACGTGGTTTGTTGGATTACAACGTTGGAAAGCCTTAGGCTTAATATTGTTGACACATGACAGGACACGTGTCTCATCTTAGGATGATAAAGGCCAAATTATCTAGAGATATTTATCTTACTTCTATTAAAAAATCTAAACAGTTTTTATCTTATAAGGATCTAAATCTTACTTTTAAGTGGTGTTTTTGAGAATGTTATATTAAATATGTTTGGTTGGATTGGAATAATTAATATGTTTAGTTGGGAGAAATAAAAGAATTTTGGAAGAAGTTTTTTATTGAATTATCTTTCTGTTTTAATATTATTAATTGTAAAATTATAAAAAAATGTAAATGATCTAATTATCTTTCTTTTTTAATATTATTAAGGGTAAAATTATAAAAAAATTTAAATGATCTAATAATTTAAAATATTCAAGTAATGGGTGGTATTCAAATTTCTGAATACTATTGGTATTAGAAGATTTATTATTTGACAGGGTAACCTTAGGGATGCAACTCATATTATAGAAATAAAACAAGAGACACCGAACCAAATTACTAATATTTGTGTTGTAGATAATATGTAAGGACTGTTTCATCCTTATCCTCTTTGTTTTTTAAAGGAAGAAAAACACCCCAATAATTCCTCAAGACAGCAAGCAATTGCAGTAGCTATTTCAGCTATCAGACTTCAAAATAAAACAGGTTACATGGCCCAAGGACTCCAGGTAACTAAAGACTAATCTTGATAATAAAATAACATTTTGGTTCCATTCGAGTTTGTTTCTGGTGCTTATATTTTTGCACTCAACTCGTAAAACATTATTATACATGAACTATTAACTATAATAATTGCTTCTTCTTGTTGCGATATTGTAAATATATATATGTAGAATTCGAGTTAAAGGTAGATAGATAATATCACCTAATAATATTAGTTTTTTTAAGGGTTAATAAACGCTCGACTTGTCACAAGTGATATCAAAGTAAATTCTCATCCCTTGTGTAAATCATGAGTTTGATCCCTACATCTCAGATCCTTTTATATGATGATTTGATATAAAGGTATATAGTCCCCACTGGAACAAAATGCCTAGGCGTATATGGTCTTCATTAGGCTTTATTTTGTCTAATACATTACTTCACCAAACACAAAATAGTATTATAATTTATACAGTCCTATCCATTACCAATCCATTAATATACATTTTAATCTAATCCCATGAAGTTAATCCAGTCCAATACGGTGCGACAACACACCCTATTATATGTTTCTAGTGTTGGAACAAATTTACCAACATATCTTCTCAGCAAAATCCATGAAAGCAATACAAAGCTCAGTCTTTAGCTTAACAACAAGAACATTGCAACATTATGTTCCAAAATTTCAATTGAACTAGGTCAAAATTTGTATCAAACTCTTGAAAGGAGATTCAGTGGGTAAAACATGCATTAGTTTTACATTCTCACATTGTAAGTTATTCTCTACTCTCATAGAGCTCGAAAGTCCAATGAGAAAGCATGCTAAAAGACAGAAATTAACTCTATCAGTGAAAATTAGAAGCAATTCCACCAGATTCTGCTTCAAGATATTTGCATATCCTCTCCATAACTTCTCTACCCTTAACACTATTCTGCATGAACCTTTCAGCACATCGTTGCTCCACCTTTTCTGCCATTGATGCCAGTGCTGATAATGGTTTAATGCGAATACTAGTCTCCTGTTGGCACACAGTCCACCCAGTTGGATTTTCTGGGTGGGGTTCATATCTGATCTTTTCCTCTACTTCTATGAACTTTTGGAGACTAATGTTGCGGGTTGTGAGTTGCATTGACTTTGATTGAGCATCCACAACTGTAGATTCAACACAGTGACAGATATCTTGACCAACAATTTTGCGTAAAAACCATGGTCCTGGGGCATGTATAGTAAGGGCACGAGTTGTGTAAAGCTTCCCGGAGAGAGAATCGAGCTTGTGGCTCAGCGTATCCACTTCAAGTATATGGGACAACGTACGCTTGTTCTCAGGGTCAGCAAACTTGCGCCAAGATGCAGAAGTTACCCGCTCCCATGGGTGCTTGTAAACATGATCTTGTGTGTATGCTTTCACCATCACGATCTATTTAATGTCTGTCATTGTGAGAAAGGAGCACTTAGTGAGTTCAAACAATTCAAATAAAACATTAAATATTCAGGTATGGTCCAATCAACCATTCCACAATAATAATACTAATAATAATAACAAAAAATAACGCTAATACATGAAACGCCTCCAAAGAAAGCCACTATCCAGTCCAAATGAGAATCTATTTTTTGGTCATCATATATTATATCTGTACATTTTTCCTCATCCCCTTGCTCTTCATTCAATAATTTCAAATCACTTCCAAGGTTGCGATTTTGGGAAGCTAAGTCAAATCTTTCTTCTTAAATTTAGGGACCTTGTTCTTCCTAATCACTGCTACACTTTTGAGGCCAGTGAATTTTACAGAGCTGGGATCATCAAAATAGCTAGTTTCCTCATGTTTGATTTGATCACCGTATGGGTTAGATGACTCTATTTATTCTCCTATAACAAATGATAGTCTGTTTAAGACAAATCACCTACGTATTCAAATGGACAAATTTCATTCAATTTATTCATCAGCCAATAGCGTTGATTATATATTTAAGGAAAACAATACCTATGGCCTAAAGGATCAGCATAAATGAAATTATCTTCAAAACTAAGAACTATCACTCAAGAGAAAAAACCCTAATTAGTAACTCTTGTCCAGTTAACAGCCACTCACGCATGTAACACCACGCATAAATCATAATACTTAATCAAGAACACAGAGTCCATGTAACAACACAGGATTCTTCAGAAGCTCATCCTCTTCAACTGTCTCACAGTATAACAACGACAACAGAACTTAGAAACTAAAAACCTTTCCAAAGACAACAATAGATCATGAAAAATCCATAACACAATACAATATTACATAAACCTACCCTGACATGTATCAGAAGGCACATTAAGTACAATAAAAGGAAAAAAAAAAAAAAAAACCTGCACTGTGCCTATGCTGATAATTCAAAAGCACTGATGATTCAAAAGTAATAACTATAATTTTAAATTAGATTTGTGATGTCTAATTTTGTTCATCAAGCCAAAATTGAAAAACAACAATGAACAAAGATGTATCAATTAGCAATCAAACACAAAGACTTATCACAAGACTAAACCATTCAGAACCCAAACTGGGTTCTCCCAGAAACGTAAAACCCATCATTCAGTCAAACCAAAGAACCCAAAATCATGAACTTGGTACAATTAAATTCAATTCAATTAATGGCGACACCAATTGCAGAAAAAAAAACTGAGTCTTTTCTAGACCAAATTCTTCAGTTCTAATATCGAAAGATAGCATAAGCATAATTTCAGATCAGAAATCACAATGAGAGAAAAAAACAAACCTTTAACGCCTTGAAGATGATCTCTGCTATTAGTGATTCGACGATATTAAGGAAGTGGAAAAGAAAAGTCAGTGGGGTTTCCTTGTACTTTCTGTAATATATTCGTGTTGTACATTCAAGACAAGGTTGTCCCGCAGTATGAGTCGACGTAGGTACAACCATGTGATGCAAGATCTGACGTAAAATACTTTAAAACCCACTATGTTTTGCGTTATATTAAGGGCATGTTTGACTTATTATTTCTGCTCATATTCCTAATCCTATTCTCCAAATAATGTTGGGCACATTATTCTAGAAATATTATCTTATTTTTTTAATTATTTTTAGATCCAATGAGGTTATTAATTTCATTAAATACCCCATAAAAAAAGTTTAAAAATTAACAAAAATACCCCTATAACCCATACTTGTCAGATTCTGACAACCACCATCAGTGGTAGCCGGAATCTGCCACAACGGTGAATTACCGATAGGAACTGGCCGATAATTCACCGATCTGGCTGTCAGCGACGGCCAAAGATGGCTATCGTTTTGGCCTTTTTCGATCGTCGCAGCCACAACATGCCGTAGATCTGGCCTTTTCCAGCTAGATATAATGACGCGTTATGACACAGATCCGAGCGGTCTGTGTCGTAACACGATTTTCCGGCCAGATTCCAGCGGTGGTGGCCGGAATCTGGCACTGTAGGTGGTGAGGTATTTTTGTCATTTTATATATTGGGTGTTTAATTAAATTAGTAAACCTAGGGGCTTTTTTATAAATTTTTAAATTTTACCTCATAATACTCTCCTATTCAACTACCGAATATTATTCCCAAAATCCTATCCAAAATAATAAATCAAATGCACCTTAAAAGTCTAATTCTTTTAGAAACTAAAATCAGACCCCCAAGTGTCTGCGTTATATCTATATGAAGCAATATTAATTTATTCTTTTTATTATTATTATTATTATTATTTGTAAGATAGAAAGTCAAGATAAAAATAAAATTATATGATTTTTCATGTTATACTTATATAATGATTTGTTATAGGAATATTAACGGAAAAAATTAAAAAAACATAAATACCCACTACAAATACTTATAGAAGTAAAAATAAATAAAAATTAAGATTATTAAATTAAGGTTAAAAAAAATCAAAAAATTAAATTCACTACAAAATTAGAAATAGTTAGGAAACCATTTGTATTTTTGAATTATTATAAAAATTAATACAGAAATCTTTTTAATTTTATTATGAATTTAATCTGTAATTAAAAATATTTTTAAAGTTGTATAAAAATATAAAGCATTACATGCTTATCACATACCATATAAGTTATTTTTAAACTTGTGTCTCCTTTTAATAGTTTCATAAAATATTGTCCCAAATTAATAGTGTCCTTTTTTATAGGCAGAACGACTTACACCTACCCAAGGTTTGGAGAAATGATGATTAGTACCCAAAAGGTTTCAAAAAGACAAACATGTACCTTTCGTTAGGGAAAAGACTAGAGTGCCCTTTGAGAAATATTAGTCTATTTTTGGAATTACTTTTAGACCCCTTAAGTTTATTAATTCCATCAAATACCCCCAGAAAAAGTTTGAAAATTAACAAAAACACCCCCACCCACCCATACTTGCCAGATTCCGACAGCCACCACCGGTGGTAGTCGGAATCTATCACAACAGTCTACGCCACCACCGGAAATGGCCGATAGTTCACCGATCTGGCCTTTTTCGGCCAGATCCACCACGGATATGGCCGAAAAAGGCCAGATCTAGCCGTCGACGACCGCAACAGTCCATGGCCGTCGTTGTCTGTCAACGATGACCACACTTTGGCCGTCACTTTCCGGCCAGATCTGGCTTTCTTACGTCAGATCTGGCCTTTTCCGGCCAGATCCACTATAGATCTGGCCGGAAAAGGCCAGATCGGTGAATTACCGGCCATTTACGGTGGCGGCCGCCAGAATCTGGCAAGTATGGGTGAGTAGGGGTGTTTTTGTTAATTTTTAAACTTTTTTCTGGGGCTATTTAATGGAATTAATAAACTTAAGGGGACTAAAAGTAATTAAAAAAATAGACTAATATTTCTCAAAAGGCATTCTAGTCTTTTCCCTAATGGAAAGTACTTGTTTGTCTTTTTGAAACCTTTTGGGTACCAATCTGTCGTATCTCCAAACCTTGGGTAGGTGTAAGTCGTTTCCCCTTTTTTATATTATAATGTCTTTTTGTGTGACACCCTTATGTATTGGATCTTTAATTCACTAAGATCATTGATTTATTGTTTCCTATCCAACCATTGCCGGATTGCTAACAATAATTTTATCAAAAAATCACTTAAAATCAGAAAAAAAAAAAATCTAAGCCAATCAAATTAAAAATGTTTTTATATATTGTATTTTAATATTTAATAAATAAACTTAACATGAAAATTTTGAACACTAGAAAAAACTATAGATAATAATGGATCCAGAAATTTCTGCTAGGGTGAACCAAAATAAAAACTAATTACACATTAATATTTTTGTCCATTAATATTTCGTTATGGTAGACCAAAATCCAGAAATTATAAATATTAGTATTTTTTTTTTTTTTAAATTGAGGGTGGGCCAAGTACTGGATCCGCCCCTGACTGCGTATATACACAATAATCTCTAGTTATAACGTTTTATTATTAATTCAATTAAGATCATTTTCACTTGTTAAACTAAAATAATATTTTACAAATAAGGGTCCAAAGCTGAATCAATCTTTAGTACAAATGTTTTGAAGTTTTAATATGCAAATCAAAGATGAGCAATCGCTCGCCACCTTTACAAAATGCAAAATCAAAAGTTAGCCAATAATCATTCAACTTTGATCTATAAGATAAAATTTTGAAACGTTCATATTTGAGAATTTTCATTTATATGTATTAAATATAAATTTATAATTCATTTGATATTTTTGTTTTATTAATGACTTGTATCACTTCTATGATGACCTTGACCATAAATTTAAAGTCTTATTAACAAGACATTTATAGAGCAATTTAATATTAATGGAAATACTTGGCATAGTTATAGCAAAATCCCTTCACGATCCCGAAAACAAGGACTTACTGGGCCATTATTGGGCCGGGTTTTTCTTTAGTACTAAATCATGGACTTTATAAGTCCATAATATCATTAACTATTGCAAGCCTTTCATAGTCATCTCATTTAAGGTTAAGATTATCAAATAAAAACAAATTCATAAATTTACATCTCATTTTTCAATCTATTTAGTATTGAAGGGACAAAAATAAATAAATAATTAATCAGTTATTATTAGGCCTTAAATTTAAAGCTAATTACTATGAAGGGAGACAATATTAATTATATTATTAGATTAAAAATAATTTTAGTAGAATGCAAAACCTCGTAATTGCTATTCCCTAATAATAAATAACCCTTCATGGATATAGGGAGGGGGTTCTTAATAATTTAATAATGAAATAAAATATATACTTGGAGCTCAAGAAGTATTATTATATTTTAATCAGTAAATGAAATGATATCTCTTGCGGATATTTTTGTGATAGATATTGTAAATAAAACTACAAGATTTCATGCATAATAAAGCACTAAATTAAATGATTACAGTCACTATAGTTTATAAACATTATATTTCCCAGTAAGATCCAAAATCCTATTGAATCAATCAATGAAGAAAGTCAAAATTATATTTGAAAACCATTTCTTCCTCCCTCCAATCTAGGATCCCATCATCTATATTATTATCTTTCTTAAACCATATTTACAACTAGATATATGGTTAATTATATTTGTACACACGCACGCACATAGATATATAAATTTGATATATAATAGGAAAATAAGAATTTTTTTATAATAAATGGAAGCCAACAGGCCACATGCGAGTCGACATTGTTGTTTGGATAATCGAGAACCAGAATTCTAAATCGATAATCTAGACTTAGAAATTGGGAATACACATCTATGCTGATTGAGATTTTGTTAAATTAATAATTATATAAAAATATAGACACACATGGTGATCCATATATGGAGCGATCTTCCCCAAGTATATTTATGGAAGCCCTAATTAGACTACTATCTATCTATATGTATATAGCTAGATCTCAAGATCTCATTCCTTTCGCACAATTTTAATTAACTAATCATTACAACATTTGTACCGAGCTCACTCTACAATTCTGTCCAAATCAAACCTCTCAAATCTTTTTTTTCATAACTTAAAACTTTTATAAACTATATTCAATGACCCTTTTGTATGTAGCTTTTAAATTCCATATTCATACAAAAGATATATCACATTTCCCCAAGAGTATAACATGAAGAGAGTTTTATTTATTTTATTTGTTGCATGTTAAATAATCAAACTTAAAACACTAAAGTTTAATAGCTCATTCTTCTTCTTTTTCAAATCACTGAATATAATGGAGATTTTTGCTTTTTTAATTTGCAAAACATTCTGACCTGATCAACTACTTTGTGACGATTGCTTTCTGAGTGACAATGAGGAATTAAATTATTCCCGTTGGTGCAGAGTCGAACTGTGGTTTCAGGCTTATTTTTGTTAAATTAAAACAAGAATGTCTAAATTATATATAGTGTTTATTGGGTAATGCTACCCGCCTTGGCTACTGGAAGAGTCGGAACTTTAATGAAGCGTAAAGGATGCTGACATTACCATCTTAATTAATAGGGGTGGTTTAGTTGCGGCATCCGAAAACCTAACAAATTTATTCTATGATATTTTCAATTCACATTGTATATTTTAAGGAGGGCAATAAATATCTACACTAATGCTGCTATATGGTTAGTAGACATAACCAATCCTCAAGGAAGTGAATTTAATGTATTATACAATTTGAATTTTCTTTAGAGATTTACACAGTGTGTACTCAATATAATATAAGGATATGTCACATCATCCACGCACACTAAACTAATAATATTATGTTAGGGAGAACGACATGTTCCCACACAAGGTTTGACAAAACGATACTTTCCCACTCGGCGTTATGTTTTGTTAGGAAAACTTGTTCTTTGACATGGTCTAAACAATGTAAAAACAAAAATACTATTCTCTCTTCTTATTCTCTCTTTTCTTCTTTCT